AGATAGACTGTAGTAATAGTAATAGGCTAAGGAAGCATATTGTAATCCTTAGCAATAACTGAAAAAGAATACAGGGAGGTATAACTAAAAAGCCAACAGAAAAGATAAAAATGATTACCAAAATACTCAATTAGAAGTAGTCAAGAAAGGAAAAACAAATGACAAAGAACAGATGAGACAAATAAAAAATAAAGAACAAAATAGTAGGCCCAGGGTCTGTTAACTTTTCGTGTAATGGCCCAGACAATTAATATTTTAGACTTTGCAGACCATACAGTCTCTGTCACAACTATTCAATCTGCCATTGTAGCATGAAAGCAGCCACAGACAATACATAAATGGTCATGATCGTGTCAAAAACTTTAGTAACAAAAGCAGGCTGCTGAACTTTTGTTACTAATATATCAATATCAGTTCATTAATTGTGACAAAAGTAACTTAAAAAAAAAAAAAACAGGCCAAGAGCCAGATTTGCCTGTAGGCTATAAGTATGCTTGCTTTGTGGTAGACTAAACCCAACCATATTAGTATTGCATTAAATATAAACGTACTAAACACTCGAATGAAAAGACAAAAAAATTGTTAAACTGAATAACAAAATATGACCATAAAATATACTTATGATACACTAATTTGACATATATGGACAGGTTGAGAATAAAGAATGGAAAAAGAGAAAATTCCCTGGCAATCCAGTGGTTAGGGCTGTGCGCTTCCACTGCACGGGGCATGGGTTCCCTGGTCGGGGAACTAAGAGCCCGCATGCTACGTGGCACAGCCAGGGGGGAAAAAAAAAGAATGGAAAAAGATATACCATACCACCACTAATCATAAGAAAGCTGATGTGACTCTATTAATAACAGACAAAGTAGACCTTAAGATAAAGATGACTACCAGAGATAAAGTGTTAACAATTCATCAAGAAGATATAATAATCTTAAATATTTACGCACCTAATAGCATAGCTTTAAAATACATGAAGCATAAGTTGACAGAACAAAAACTAAGTGCCTAAAATTGAGACTATGTTGCTCTTACTAGTTGGAAGTTTGAGGGACTGATATTTTCTTCCCAATAAAATCATGCTTTCTGTCTAGCATGAAAATATTCACATAAGAAATATTTTTAAACAAATCATTCTTATCAGTCTATTAATAATGAAGAGACCTCAGGTCAAAAGTATCTTTTAATTATAAAGCTGCTTAAGTACATGTGATAATTTAAAATGATTCTGAATGTGAATTAAAGATTACAAATATAAGAAAAATTCAATTGGAGAAGTTGTATCATTAGAGTAAAATGGTAACATCCAAATATTTAATGTCATATTGACTTCTGGGTCAAGATAGAAAGGGGGATGCTTTAGTCTGTCGTTCCTGCTGCCCAGTGAAGAATGACACCCTGGTTGGAATAATCTTAGTTCAGTCTAAATTCGAAAGTTTTTACTGTAAGATTAGTTTCCAAAAATTTAGTCCTCCAACCTAATAAAGATAAGTTAAAGGGGGGGATTCTTGGCCAAAAAGTATGGATTTCAAGAGACTAACTCCATAAAATAAACCTTCAACTTTCTGAATTTCAAAGGCATCTATAATGTAGAGTCAAAACATCATATGCCTCATTATTATATTTGTTATAAATTCCCTTGCCGTTTTCTTTTCTATATTGTCAATGTTAAGTTCCTTAGCCTCTCAATGCTAATTAATAGAATTCTACTATTTAGCCCAGAGAACGCTCCTGGTAAGAAGAATCTCAGAAAGATGAGAAGAAAATGTTCCCTCTTAGTCTACAGCTGTGAAAAGTAGACAATATTCTTGGTTAGAAGCTTGTCCTGAAGTGAACTGAGAATATTCACAGAAGAGTCAATGTTACTAAGCCCTGTCAAGTGTGGAGACGTGCGAAAATGTATGATCCTATTCTGTTTTCTGTTTAACAAAATGGTCTTTTAAGATTATCAACACCTCAAAGATTATCGTTAAGAGGTGTAAAATGTACCCTATAATCGGGGTGACTGTATAATTTTTTATACGTCAGGATATTTCTGAGCGAGAATAATTATACCTGTTAATAATTAAACCAGACCAACAGGCATAAACCAGGATAGCTTTGGACACACCAGAACACCTAATCACTCTTCCTACAACCTCAAAATTCTACAGTGCTAATCAGTTGTTTTACCTCACAGGTGTTTGCCCTAATACTATTTAAATTGACATCTCTATTTCCTGGAAGCTATAAATATCTATGACATTTCTTTAAGTCAGAAGATGAGTTGTGGGATATGCTTCTCCCTTTATCCATAAAAGTATAGTAAAACCTATGATTATTTTGGATTCTCTATTCAAAGAAAGGATTTGAGAGTGTGACTCATTGAAATTCATAATTTAAATTCCAGGATGTCAGACTTTACATCCGATATCTATAACCTCAAATAAGAAAGCAATCCGTTATTAGTGGTATCCTAAATTTATAGAGCAAACACTCTGGGTTAACCTCAACAGAAATCTCATTCTGAAGGGGATCTCAGAGATAACCCCGTGACTTATCTTTATTGGTCAAGACACCAGTAAAATAAGCAAACGTTCCCTTGCACTGATGGTCTCTGGTAGGATACGGGAGACTTGTTTACTCTCTCAAATTTAATCAAATGGGATTATTATGTGAATATACAAGGTCTTCCATTTTTCCCACCAATTTAAAGAACATCTAAACTTAACTATCTTAAATATTCTCCTACATAACCACAAGGTATTAGAACAAATATTTGCTCCCCACTGCCACTCAAAAAAGCACATCTATGACAAATTTTACATCTGAATTATATTGTATTTGACTCAGGAAGAGACTTTACAGTATTGGACACAACCATTAAACTGATTTGATTTTACACTCAAATCAGGTGGCTGGATATTTAAGTTATAATTTAAAATTTTTTTTAAGAGAATGGACATGTAATTTATTTTTAATGTGTGTGACGTTTTAAATTAAAATGGCAGTGAAAAAGTTTTTTAAAGAGCAATCAGTCTATATTTAACATATGTCATTGAAATCTCTTTCATTTTAGAGATTCATGAAATCTCTTACATATATAGAAATTGGCTATGGGACAACACTGAGTAAGGAATACAGTTCACAGAACCCCAGTTCTTATGTTTACCTAATTTGCAAATGTTGTTTTAGGAATTTAAAATACGACTTCTCTGGTGGTGCAGTGGTTAAGAATACACCTCTCAATGCAGGGGACACGGGTTTGATCCCCGGTCTGGGAAGATCCCACATGCCGCGGAACAACTAAGCCCATGCGCCACAACTACTGAGCCTGCGCTCTAGAGCCCACGAGCCACAACTACTGAGCCCACACGTTGCAACTACTGAATCCTGCGTGCCTAGAGCCCATGCTCCGCAACAAGAGAAGCCACCATGAGAAGCCCATGCACCACAACGAAGAGTAGCCACCACTCGCTTCAACTAGGTAAAGCCTGCGTGCAGCAACGAAGACACAATGCAGCCAAAAAGAAAAATTAAAAAAGAAAAAAAAGAATTTAAAATAAAACAAAAAGTACTATCCAGCATTTTGCAAATTAGCATAACTATACACCCACAAGATGCTTGTGATTGATCTTCACAAAGATATTAAAAATCCTAAAAAAAATTTCTAAAATATATGAATATATTTAGTATAATTTTAGCATTAAATGAATTTTAATTTTAAAATTAATAAACAGAGCATCACCTACATAGCAACATACATATTAGCCAATTAAGACCACAGAAGTTTTCTACTTTTACTTAAAACATTACCAATAGTTCTTTCAATAAAGAGGAGGTCAACAATACTGAATAAATTTTAGTTTTAGACATAGTCATTAATTTGGCATTTGGTACCCAGAAAAATCAATGCTGAAGTGACTATAGAATCTTAAAGAATTATAACATGAAAAAAGAATATAAAAGCCCAAATACCAAACAGGCATGAAAAAAACTAGAGAACTTTTCAAGAAAGCTTTAAAGAATTATGAGACTAAAGAAAAAGATGCCCATCTACAAGGATCTAAAGAAAGAATAATTTACATAATGTCCTTAATTATTCAAAATAACCAAGAAGACATGAGAGTGGTTAGTAAAACAAATACATAAGGGCCAAAAATTAAGGACTAATTTTTAAGCTCATTAGTTTCAAGCAAAGAAAATATGGCAACCTTTTCCTGGAACATATAGCCCAGTAGCTCTCGCTCTTTTACATCATAATTTATCTAAAACAAACAAAATAAAAGACAAAGAGAAAAAAAGACCCAGAATCACTCAATTTGTTAAGCTAGCTGAATTACTAAATTAAAAGTTACATGAATTTTTTTAAACCTCGCTATATTCTAACTACAGAAATCTCTTATAATATTTTTAAATAGTCTGTATTATACAGCAGAAGCCAACACTAGGACTAAAGTTTGCCTCTACTTCTCTTACTACTTAAAATGGTCTTGTTAGGTATTAAATATTTAGTCTTCACAGTGTGGTGAAAAAGCACTCAATATGGTAGTGACACTACACAGATCTGAACTATGAAGTCTTAAACTTGGAGAGGAAAGTACGGGAAGGAAATCCCTTAGATTCATGAGTACTTTTCCAAGAAATTAATCTGTCTTTTCCTATCTTGTCAAAACTAAATCCAAAAAATGTTAGTCATTTCAAAATATTGGTTTCAAATGGGCAAGAAACTATGTTTAAAACTGTAAGCTTAACATCTATATGCAAGAAGCAATACTTTCTTAGCATTGACATTTAGAATAAACCAGTATATGCTGCTTTGAAGACTTAACTATTAAGATACAGGGGAGAAATACTTCCAACATCAAAAAACATATCATGCAGCTAAACCCATGTCTAATTAAAATGTACAATTCTAAGAACATACATATTCAGCCAAAGATTTCAAATACTTGAAAGTACTGGGACATTTTCATGGACCTAATTTTTCTATAAATAAATAAATAAATTTGGATTACCTTGTCCAGAGCAAATTTTGTGTTTCCTACTGAAGATAATGACAGCATGTAAGATCCAACAAGGGCAAAGTTGCTGGTACGTACAGCATTAAGACCGGCCATAACTAAAGAAAAAGGAAATGAAGTTTAGTTCAGAGTGACTTTGCTAAGTATAAATAACAATTCGTCACCCCACTCTAACAGAATGAAATTAAACTGCCACAGAAAAATCTGCTTCATTTTCCTCCATCTCTAAATTTGGAGGTAGGGCAGGGTGGGGGGAATAAAACATCAACACATTTCCTAATGAAAGAAAACTGTTAAGTATTTACATTTAACGTAAGTGAGGTACAGGCACATCTTAACGTTTGAGAAAGATGTGTTTTTAAAGATATAGAACCTAAAAATGTGTGTATAAAAAGCAATTTTCCTATCAGAGATATGAAAACCTTCACTGCTGTAGTCTAGGATGACATAATGAGCAGCAGGACTTTATCTGCACGGTTCTTCTTAGTTATTCTCTTGTGCCAAGAAACAGAGACCAAAAGTCCAAAGGTGAGTGAAACCAGCTCAGTCCTAATCCCCTTTGGAAAATTTAGGCCTAACACCACTCTGGAAAAGTCTTCCCTGGCCTACTGGCACTCCAGTTTCCAGTGAACTAGAAAGATGCTTTTCTGACATGATGCGATGCCAGTCATGATCAGTAAAGTTAAAACAGGTGAACTCCTCAGTGTGGATAGCACAAAACAAATCTACAGAACAAGAGAAGATATGGTGAAGAGTAATGCTACCTGCTGCAGTGTTCAAGTGACTAGGTATCCTATGTGTACTGCCTGCTAGAGCCTGAGCAATGTGCTGTTTGGTGGCCTGTGGTGGTTTCAGACAGCAGGTTATTCTCGCCAGTAATCTTACATGTTACTACCATACAGAAAATATTATTCAAAGGAGAGTAAGGTAAACACTCATAAATCAAGACGGCTATATGTGTAAGTATGCAATTGCTTATATACTAATGTTTCAAATTGATCAAGATTCACTCACCTGAAGAATGAAGGGTGCTTTTCTAAAAAACAGGTGTAAAGAAGAACATAAGTTATTTTCTTTATTTGATACAAAGATTTAAATATTAAGTACAAACACTACAAGGACTATATTTCAGAAAACATTATTTTTTCCTTTTAGGATATTTTAAAGATTCCCAAAGCACTAAGTGTTTAGAAATGGTTAACCAATTTCCAATCGTATGTGTAAGATGAAGATTTCTCAAGGAACTTCAACTTTCAAAAAATTCTACTTACTGTGGTTACAGATGTGAGAAGTCGCTTAGGAGTAATAGCCTGGAAGAAAAGATAACTTAGTATATTTCCTATTCCTATTAAACATTATGATTAAAACTAACCAAACTTAAGATTCTCCCACACAGAAAATAACTCTTAAATATCAATACATTATACTTGAGTCTTTGATTCCGGCTTTACCCATACTGTTATTCCTTTTTTGTTAAAGCTAAATAAAATTCTTTTAAATGATGATTTAGACAAAGAACAAAAGAGCAAAGGCTAGGAAGGACAGAAACAAAGCTGTTTCTATTCCTCATGCCTACAGTGACCACATCATTCTTAAGTCTGGTTTAGAGGAGCTAGTAAGACAAGAGTTCAGAGGAAAAGCCTGAGAAAAGTTTAAAGAGATAATAATAGCTGTCAAGCAGATATGGAGAAAACAGAATTGTCTAGCCTGAGTAATATCGGTAGCTTATACTTAGGGTCATAGTCACTCACTGCAAGTTTACTCTCAGTATTCATATATTATACCTATTATATTATACCTATACCTATTATACCTATTATATTATACCTATACCTATACCTATTATGTGCGGTAACTAGAAATTTAAGGCATAAAAATGACCCAAAAGCTTGATTATTAAAAATTATACATAATTTTAAACAGACATTATATCTCCTATTTCTGATTATATTCCTACTGGGTTTCCTTCATTCTCACCTTTGACTTGTATGCTTTTTTCTTCTTATCAGGGCCTGAGGGATCTTTCGTTTGTACCTACACACAAATCCAAAGCATAAGTAACTTAAAATCTGATGTCTTTAAGAAAAATACACTATTAGTTACTTTAGAAAGCTTTAACTGCTTACCAAGCTGTAAACTTCAATATTTATTTCAAAGTCATTTGACACATCCCCCCTGGAAAAATAAAAATATCAAATTATGCCATTAAAAATTATGCCACAAATACTGTTACAAGGCTGAGAGTAAAGGAATTCACTGTGTTTTAAAACTAAAGACAATAGTTACAAACTATTAGAGAATATAAAAACTGGTCAGAACAGTCTATTTTTTCCTATAATACAGGTCAAACATTTTCTTCAGCATTTTACAACTCAAGATCTTAAATAATAAAAGTAGTTGTTCTTCCAAACTAGATTTTGACTCTAGTTTCAAAATAAATCTCTGACACTAAATATAAATATCTTTCACTGAGACTTAATGTTAAGTACATTAAGAGATTTAAAGTATATATTTAAAAATTGTGGTCCAGATTTTGTGTGTGTGTGTGTGTGTGTGTGTGTGTGTGTGTGTGTGTGTGTGTAGTAAATATATATGTTAAAACACTTCAAAACATCAAATACCTACAGTCACGTGGAAGAAACACGCTACTCAATGGAAGAAAAGATCGGAAACATAAAAGAATTAAACCAACAAATTGAAAAATGAGTTATTTGTCCATATAAAAACAATAAACATACTGCATTTCAAAGATTATAAATTCTACCTGGACGCTTAGACTGTATTAACTCTATTAAAAAAGAAAAGTATGTTTGAACCATCAAAAGCCTAATTTACTTACAAAGTAAATGTAGTAGTGAATGTTAGAGCATCGCCATTAAGAGAATTTGAGGTACTTGCTAATGGTGTGGCTACCATATTTTCAGCTCCTGCTTTTAGTATAATTAAGAAATAGTAATTTGCTGCATCTGTAAGAAATAATCACATTACCTAATAAGCACAAGCAAAATCAGATTTAGCTAATCAGCATTCTGGAAGACCAAATGAATAAAGTAATACCGCAACTGATTTACATAAAATTCATTTTAAATTTTCTAAAGTCAATTTTTCAGACACAAAAAGACAAGACGTAAGCAGACAGGCATGTTCCTGGAACAGCATCATCAAGGTCTCTTCATTTTTTTTTTTTTTTTTTCCAGTACGCGGGCCTCTCACTGTTGTGGCTTCTCCCGTTGCGGAGCACAGGCTCCCGTGTCCCCTGCATCGGCAGGTGGACTCTCAACCACTCGCCACCAGGGAAGCCCAAGGTCTCTTCATTTTAAGTGAATTGAAATAACTTCGCTACACATTCCTCAGTTTCTGCTGACTTCAAATTTTACCTATTGACCCGAAATTCTTTAGCTAATAGTATACATCTCAAAAGGGTAAATTCTGGTTTGTTATTTCAAAACTGAGATTAAAATACTATATTTCTGTGAAATTTACCATCCTGCCCTATTTTTCAGATACTGGTGCCATAACCTCCTTTACCCACTTTGTTTAAATATGATTTTAAGTAGAATACATAGCTTAGAAAAGTTTATTTATTCAATCTAGAGGAATAAAGGGAATAAAATTTGAATAGAAGTATCTACACTGTGATGCTCTTCACTCCCACAACCAGTAATTCAGGACTCAAAGAACAAATTTACATGACAGAGTGAATTTTAAATAGAATAGAGTAAGTAAAATAAGTTCTTTTAGATGCCCAATACTTTCCACAATAAACTTAATGAAAGTCAAATGGTCTGTTGTATCAGAATAACTCATCTTAGTAATTTATTTTATGTTCAATATTATGTTTAACAAGCCTTACTTTCAGTTAGACCTATGTCTGTTATTGCATGGATCAGTAAGAACATATATGAAATTTTTCCTTGGTTATTTTTATACACACATCTACATAAAAGGAACTAAAGGCCCGAGATACAAGCCTTGTGTCTTCATGCATGCTCTACTTGTTCCCATTTGCACAATTCCAATCTAGGTGAAGTTCATAATTTAACATATGATCTAGAAATGAGTAAATAAAAATTACCATACCTGGTTTCTGAACTGTACTGCAGACAAAATCTGCTTTTAGAGGCAAGCGGATTTCTGACAAAGTAATTGATCCTTTGGAAGGGACAAATTCACTTTGGGATATGGGACCAGCCTTATTCTTCCTCTGAGGCCCTTCATTCTTCAACTTATTCAACTCATCAATCAAAAGTGTTCTCTTCTCAGCTATGTAGAAATATGCAAGTTAATATTTCAAATATTAAAACTGCAATTGTTTCTAAATTAAGCCAATTCAAGAAAATGCACTCATGTGGCAACTGTATACAACACCAAAGACAAAATCAGTAACTCTTCCTTCATATAAATAGAGGGTACGTAGTTAGGTAAAACCTTGATTGCGCAATCTGTTCACGAAATCCTTGTAATTTAATACTTCAACTTTTGGTCAGTTTTCTTGCATGGTTAATCTCCCCATCCTAACATGCCCTGTCATCCATCACCACACATACACACAACAAAATTCACATACTTATTTTTAGCTATACATATATAGACAGGTACAGAGACAGAGCACATATGTGTGTGTGCATAAAGAGTATGTATGTGTGTGAGTTCAGGTATTCATTCTTAGCATACTCTTTACGCTACATTTCTTCAAATGCATTCCAGGTTCTTTCACCTTTTCATGCAAACTACACCTTATTTTACATGTAGTGTTTTCACAAACCTTGTAAGAAACAAAAAATAGATCAGCTGAAACATTATCAAAAAAGCCCTTTCTCTAAAATTAGAAATTTCTGAATATACTAGACAAAATGAGTTTTTCCTGGTTTGAAATTGTGTTGGAATTGTTTCAGGTGTATCACACATACTTGCAATTAGAAGAAGTCTTTCTGCTTCAGCTTCTTCCAGTGACCCTTTTCCATGGTCTTCATCAACACAACAGTTAAGAGCCTGGCTAGCCTGATAGATCACTGTCTGCTGCAAATTTATTTCATTATTGAGTTCCTAGTGAAACCAATGAAAGGAGGAAAAAAACTCACATTTTTAATCACCATTTTCACTTTATTTAAACTTTAATTATAATTTATCCAATTGGGTAATTTCCAAAATCTCCAGAGAGGGAAGTCAAAATGTTACAGTTTCACTGTTCAAGTTTCTAGACGATGCACCAAAAAAGAGGACGTTTCTCAAACTGAATTCAGGAGTAAGCTCCTGAGCTCCTACATGTCACACACTGTCCTAGTCACTCAGGATACAGAGATGAATAAGGCTGGGCTCTTGTCCTCAAGGAGCTCACCATCTCGTGCTGTCAACCTTCCAAATCCCCTTTCCACAGTACATACCTGCATTTTCTGTTTGATGTTAACCTGACAAGGAAAGCCATTCTTTTTTTCATTCAGTTTTGAAGTAACATCTTCCTTCCGAACAATCACCTGCTTTATTGAAGGACGGTCTGTTTCTTTGACTCTTTGAGATCTATATGCATCAATGCTTCAGGAAATAAGTTATACTCTATTAGAAATCCAGCAACACACTAAGCACTATCCTTTGTTGAACATATCAGCAGAATATTGATATTGCAACATATCAGTAGAACACTTCACTAGAATGGAAAATGCCATTGGGTGAAAGAGAGTCTTACCAAAGCTATTTCAAAGTTTTATAATGATTAATACTAATAACACTATAATTATAAATAACAAAACTTGTATGTCAATCTAAACCATGACCCTTAGTGAGTGAATGTCTTCTAAGATGTTCTCACCTGTAAGGAAGATCATGACCTTCATGACCCATACTATCACCGGACTCAGCTCGAGGGACACGGGTTCTTTGGAATTTTCCTGGCTTTGGACTTTCATCACTTATGCTGGTGTCTTTCAATTCCCAGCTAGGCGAAGAAACTAAATTCTGCAGGAAGGCACATCAGATATTAGATTTTATGGATGACATTGATTCTAAATGAGAAATCTGAGGAACTGAATGACTTTATTACTAGAAAATAAACAACCAATAAGTTGACAGATTCATCATAAAAACAAGGCAAACTTAAATAAGTTCCTAAAATGTATACGAATAAAAGTTGAAAGACAGCTGAAGTCTACACTTGTAACTCTTTTTAAAAAATATTTCTAATTGAATCAATCTCCAAAAAAAGGTGCAGCTATTCAATTTAGGGTGATAGCTTATAACAGTAGAGTTAGCTCTCAATAAATGTTAGTTATCTATCTGGTGCTAAATACTAATATACTAATATGACCTAATATGCACTTCACCCCCATGATGTAGGTACTATTTTTAACCTAATTTAACATTTAACTGTGGCAAAGAGGTTAAATAACCTGACCCATAAACATCGCTTAATGGCAGAGCCAGGATTTGAGCCCAAATGTCTGGCCTTTTAAGCCATGTTACAGTTTGGATTTCATCTAAGGCCAAAAAGAGACCACTGAAGAGTTTTAAGCTCTCTTTTAAGAGAATTAACATCAGGTTTGCAAAATACCCCTGGCTACAGAGTGCCAAATCCCCATGCACCAACTAAAACAAAAAGGGACCCCAATTCTACTTAGTTTCTTTATGTGCTGGGCCTGTTTACATTTAGTCCTTTCTTACCTCTGGACTTACCACACCAACTGTCTGTGTTAATGGAGCAAGTAAAGACATCGAGGAGATATTCAGTGCATCTTCCTGTTCGCTGCTTTCTGCATCTGCATTATCCATCTCCTCCTGGCTCTTTTCCACATCTAGTTCACCTTCCTCTAGGACATCACTGAAGATGTCATTAATTACTTTTGAACTGTTGATATCATCATCATCATCCACACTCATCTCAATTTCACGTACCACCTCTGAAAAATATTCCAACAGGTAAATACTGTGATTCAGACCTTTAAGAATTAAACGGATAACAGAGAAGACCTAACATTCATATGCTTACTCAATAAACAGGAAGAAAAAGCCCTATGAAAAAGTACCTCCTAAACAAACAAAACAAAAAGAAATAGAATACTACTAATATAAAGTTCCAATAACATTTTCTAAGTAATAAAGGTGGGAACTATCAAAAGCTGATTCAATTCTTCGGGTTTAAGAAAGAATATTAAAAACCCAGACTGCAAGATAATAGCCAAAAGCTTCAGATTTACAAAAAATATTTTTTCAAATAATTCTTTTTCTATTGTTGGTAACTACCCTTTCACATTGCAGTCAATAATAGGAAAATATTAACATCACTTAGGGCAGGGTTCACAAATAAACTTCAAGGGCCACTGATTCCTCTAACCATACATGCAGAGTGTGGAAGGGCAGCACATTTCCTTTCCCTTTGAAAGTGAGTGATAGCCTTAATCAGATTTTCACAGGGGCCTGGGACCTAAAGATAACTGTTAACCGTACTGTATTTTGTGAAAGCTAGAGTATTTCCTAGGGGGGAAAAAAAGAATATTATAAAATCATATTTTGAAATATAGAACACTGCATATTTGAATATGAGAATACTAATTCTCCTAGTGTGTCCAGAGTTAATAAGAGACAAGGAATGAAAACAACGAAAACCAACCAGTCAGTGGTTCAACCTTTGGGTCTGATGTTACTTTTAAGGACTTTTCCTCTTCTAAAAACAATGTTATTTTCAAAGGGCTAGACTTCGTCATTTCACATTCAGTAAAACCTAAAAAAATTTTAGGAAAAACCATATGAATATATATATAAAAACTTAGAGTTTTTCAATTAAGCAATCTTACATATCTTGTTTTCTGATTATAAAGCTATGCATTTCAAATCCAGAAATGCATAAAGTAGAGATTGCCCCAAAGCACCTGTCTTCTCTTAACTTTCCCATCTCTCTCTTCTTCCCTAGAAGAGAAAGGGGACACTAATATTACCAGGTTATTGTTTGTTCTTCCAGTTTTCCTCCTATGTATACATATGTATATATCCTTTTTAAAAATTTTCCCATTATTTTGTCTTATTTTATTTTATTTTTTAAACATCTTTGTTGGAGTATAATTGCTTTACAATGTTGTGTTAGTTTCTGCTGTATAACAAAGTGAATCAGCTATACATATACATACATCCCCATATCCTCTCCTTCTGGCGTCTCCCTCCAACCCTCCCTATCCCACCCGTCTAGGTGGTCACAAAGCACCAAGCTGATCTCCCTGTGCTCTGCAGCTGCTTCCCACTAGCTAGTTATTTTACATTTGGTAGTGTATATATGTCAATGCCACTCTCTCACTTTGTCCCAGCTCACCCTTCCCCCTCCCCGTGTCCTCAAGTCCATTCTCTACATCTGCATCTTTATTCCTGTCCTGCCCCTAGGTTCATCAGAACCATTTTTTTTCTTTTTTAGATTCCATATATATGTGTTAGCATACGGTATTTGTTTTTCTCTTTCTGACTTACTTCACTCTGTATGACAGACTCTAGATCCATCCACCTCACTACAAATAACTCAATTTCGTTTCTTTTTATGGCTGAGTAATATTCCATTGTGTATATGTGCCACATCTTCTTCATCCATTCATCTGTTGATGGATACTTAGGTTGCTTCCATGTCCTGGCTATTGTAAATAGTGTGATCATACTATACATGCTGTTCTGCACTTTTTTTTTTTTTTTTTTTTGCTTTTTAAAAAGTGTCAATGAAAACACTTAACTAGCAATAGAAAAACACTACTTCAACATAATAAAGACCATATATGAGAAGCCCACAGCTAACATTATACTTAATGGTAAAAGATTGAAAGCTTTTCCTCTAAGATCAGGAACAAGACAAGCTAGAGATAAGCCCACTCTCACCATTTCTAGTCAACATAGCTTTTTAAAAGTCCTAGTTAGAGCAATAGGCAAGAAAAAGAAATTAAAAGAATCCAAATTTTAAAAGAAGTAAAATTATCTCTGTTCACAGATAACATGATCTTATATACAGAAAACTCTAAAGATTCCACAAAAAAAAACCTGTTGGAATCATATACAAATTCAGCAAAGATGCAGAATACAAAATCAACACAAAAAAACCAGTTGCATTTCTATATACTAACAATCAACAATCTGAAGAGCAAATTAAGAAATCAATTCCAATTACAATAGCATCAAACAGAATAAAATACTTAGGAATAAACCTAACCAAGGAGGTGATAGACTTGTATACTGAAAAGTACAAAATACTGCTGAAAGACATTAAAAAACACACAAATAGATGGAAAGACATCTCATGTTAATGGACTGGAAGACTTAATATTGTTAAGATGTCAATACTACCCAAAGCAATCTACAGATTCAATGCAATTCTTATCAAAATCCCAACAGCACTTTTTGGAGAAATAGAAAGTCTGTCCTAAAATTCATATGGAACTTCAAGAGACCCTGAATATCCAAAACAATTTTGAAAGAGAACAAAGTTAGAAGACTGACATTTCCTGATTTCAAAACATATTACAAAGCTATAATAATCAATATAGTATGATACTAGCATAAAGATAGACATATAGACCAATGGAAAAGAAGAGAGAGCCCAGAAATAAAACTTCACATATATGGTCAAATGATCTTTAACAAGGCTGCCAGGATAATTCAATGGGGAAAGGGCAAATGATGTTGGGAAAACTGGATATCTACATGCAAAGAATTAAGTTGGACCTTTATCTGATGTCATATCCAAAAATCAACACAAAATGGATTAAAGACATTATGTAATACTCAAAACTATAAAACTCCCAGAAGAAAACAGAGAGAGAAAGAAAGCTTCATGACATTGGATTTGGTGACAATTTCCTGGGTATAACACAAAGCAGGCAACAAAAGCAAAAATAGACAAATGGGACTACATCAAACTTAAAAACTTTTGTGGGAGCGGGGGCAAGGTAGGAGTAGGGGATTAAGAGGTACAAACCACTATGTATAAAATAAGTAAGTTTCAAGGATATACTGTCCAGCACATGGAAAATATTTTATGATAACTAAAATGGAGTATAATCTATAAAAATGTTTAATCATTATGTTGTACACCTAAAACTAATATAATATTGTCAACCAACTACACCTCAATTTAAAAAAAAGTTTTGTGTATCAACCTACTGAATGTGAGAAAATATTTGCAAATCATATATTTGACAAGGGGTTAGTATTCAGAATATAAGAACTCCTACAACTCAATAACAAAAAATCAACCTGATTTAAAAATGGGCAAAGGACATGAACAGATGCTTCTCCAAAGATGATATACAAATGGCCAACAAGCATGCGAAAAGATGCTCAACATTTCCAATCATAGGAGAAATGCAAATCAAAATCACAATGAGCTAATAACTCATACCTATTAGGATAGCTACTGTCAAGAAAACAAAAAATAACAAGTGTTGATGAGGGTGTGGAGAAATTAGAATGCTTGTGCACTGTTGGTGAGACTGTAAATAGTGTGACCACTATGGAAACCAGCATAATAGTTCCTCAAAATATTAAAAATAGAACTACTGCATGATTAAGCAATCCCACTTCTGGGTATACAGCCAAAAGAATTGAAAGCAGGGTCTCGAAGAGATATTTGCATACCCATATTCATAACAGCACTATCCACAATGGCCAAGAGGTGGAAGCAACCCACATGTCCATCAATGGATAATGGATAAACAAAATATGGTATATCTACACAATAAAATATTATTCAGCCTTTAAAAGGAAGGCAGTCCTGTCACACATTTGACATGTGACATGTCAACATGGATGAACCCTGGGACATCATGCTAAATTAAATATGCTAGCCACAAAAAGACAAATACTATATTATCGCACTTATATGAGGTATCTAATCTATATGAGGTAGTCAAATTCATAGAAACAGAATGTAGAATGCTGGTGACCAGAGGCTCAGGAGAGGGAAAAGGGGAGTTGTTGTTTAATGGGTATAGAGTTTCAGTTTTGCCAAATGAAAATTCCAGAGATCTGTTCTTCAACAGTGTGAATATACTTAACACTACTGAACTGTACACTTAAAAACTGTTAAGATGGGGCTTCCCTGGTGGCGCAGTGGTTGAGAGTACACCTGCCGATGCAGGAGACGTGGGTTCGTGCCCCGGTCCAGGAAGATCCCACGTGCTGCGGAGCGGCTAGGCCCGTGAGCCATTGCTGCTGAGCCTGTGCGTCCAGAGCCTGCGCTCCGCAACGGGAGAGGCCGCAACAGTGAGAGGCCCGCGTACCGCAAAAAAAAAAAATTGTTAAGATGGCGAATTTCAGTAATATGTTTTTTTACCACTACTGTTTTTTTAAATTTAACTGCCTATGATATATTAAATGTCATTACATACAAAGCTACCTTATTCATTTTAAGCAGCTACATAATACTTGATTACATGGATTTAGCACAATTTATTTACAGTCTTCTACTGATCTGCATTTAGGTCATTTAAATCTTATTACTATTACAAATGGTGCTACAATTAATATATTTGTACATACACCTGTGCACACTAGTTCTAAGAATGCAACTTACAGAAACACTTGCAGAGCACACACACTTTACAATTCAATAGATATTACTGAAATTTTCTCCAAAAAATACTTATAGTAATTTACACTCTCATCAAGTGTATGCGTTCTCACTCTGGACAGATAACTAAGGAAGGATATTGCATGGCTAGAAATGAGAAGGTAAGTGGAAATGAAGAAATGAATCTGTCATTTTACACTAGAACAGCATTTCTGCTTTCCAATCCAATTTCCAAAACTATGGTAGACTGAAATCTACATTTTAAGTGAAGTAGAAATAGAAAACGCTTACCCGTAGGTTCTATACTAGAAGGTTTTGCTGGTGTCTGATTTTCTGTCACCTTTTCTGTTACTGGAAGTGATGGGGCATTTGGACCAACTTGTTTTCTGAGGGGAGTGTTCTGACAGTGAATTTCCTGCAAAAAGCAAATGAAGAGATAAACTTTACCTCTCAAAACTATAAATTTTGTCTTTTTACATGTCATTAAATGAAACAAGTAAGAGTCATTGCTCTATATAAGCTTCCTCAGAGCAAAACAGATAATGAATGTGAAAGGGTCCAGCCATGTTTAGAACACAAAAGGCCTTGGTGCTAGTTCATATTCTTGGTAATTCATAGTATGTAAAATCTTTTTTAGAGACCAGTAGGCAAGAGAGAATGAAAATCCACATCAGAGTTCAGCTTTAGATAAACCAATTCAGGTGAAAGCCACATATTGGGAAAAAATAATTGTCTCCTCAGAAAGAACAAAACAAATACAAGCAAAATCACACGGCACTTCCTCATCCCTTTCTAGCCACCACCTCCTTGCTCCCTTCCCTTTAGAACCAAACTTCTGAGGACTGTCTATACTCCTGGACTCTGCTCTTCACCCACTACTACCTGCATTCTACCCTCACCACTTCATTAAAAGGCTCTGCCAAGTCACAACAAGCTCCTTATTTCAAAACCCAGTGGTCTCAGTCCAGTCTACGTCTGACAACAAACACTTGGCAATACCAACCACTCCTCCCTTCTGAAAGGCTCTTTCTTCCCTTGACTTCAGTTATGCCATACTCAACTGCTCTTCCCTCCCATCTTTTAGGCTGCTCTTTCTGTGGGTACCACAGATGAGTTCTGAGGTGGGGAGACCCCTGAACTCCCCATTACTGTGTTCAGAATTTTCTTTACATGTATATGTGCAACTGTCTGGGGAGGGATTCCACAGGTTTATCAGGAATCATTTAACAAAAAAATCATTTAAGAACGGTTGCTTTTTATTTTCCAGAGACGTAGAAGCAAAATTATGAGACTATGACCTACCGGCAACTAAGTGAAGAAGGTGCTTCAAACAGAAGAGAGTGATTCACAATGTCAAATGCTGCTAATAATAGGTCAAGTTAAACACCTGAAAACTGATTACTGAAGATCACTGGTGAATTTGATACAGGTAGTGGTGAAAGACTGAGTGGAGAGATCAAGAGAGAAGGGAAGAGAAAAACTGGAAGATACAAGTAGAGACACCCTTTTGGAAGAGCCTGGATGAAAAGGAGGCAAAGAAAGGAAGGGGAATAGGAGATCAAAAGAGTTGTTTTTGTTTTAAGATCACAGATAATAGCTTGCTCTATGCTGATAGGAAGGATTAGCCCATTCATTCCTTCTTCCAAAGACAAATTTACTGTGCTCCTACTGTGAGTCAAGCACTGAGAACATAGACAGAGATGAATAAGGCTCTCATAGACAGTGGTGAAAAACAAAGTTAAAACAATTATAGGAAGATAAATATTCCAGTGAGGTAAAAACAGGATGACATGGGCCCAAAAAAGCAGGAGGGGGACTGGAAAAAGGGCCAAGTAAAAAATTCCAGAGGGAATTAAAATTTAACCTATTCTTAATGAAGCAGGAGCTCACCACAGAGATATTTCATCCAGAGACACTAGCAAGGCAAAGACAAAGAGATCTGAAAATATGCTTACACTTGAGAGACTACAAATAGTCTGCATGGCAGGACTGAGGCACACATGTGGAGGAGCAGGGAAGAGAAGCCAGATTTCTGAATGATTCTAGATATCAAGCCAAGCACTTTAGACATTTTTCTGATGTTAGCTATGGGGAGCTCTCCAGGATTTTAAGCAAGGGAATACATGCCTATCTGCCTTTTAGAAATATTTTTCTAGCAGCAGTGGGTTAGATGGACTAGAGAGAAGCCAGACTAAAAGCAGGGTGTTCACACAAAGCTATGTTAATGATTAAGGCAATGGCAGAGGAAAATATACAAGACAAGGAAGCTTGGTGACATACTTAGAAAATGTATCACTGGATGTGTGTGTGCTTATGTGTGCATGTGCTAGAGGCCAGCAGGTGGGAAGACATAGTAACAAGAGGAAGGAGCCAAGGAGGTACTGCCAGATTGTTTTAGATGAGGAAGTATAGAGTAAAGCCCTAAGTGAAGACAGAGACTACATGGGGAAGATATTACAGCAAAGCATAGAAAGCTCTGCCAGCCATCCAAAGCTCAACTAGAGTTCAGGAGAGAGATGAGGGCAGAATAGCCAAGCATTATCAGCATTTCTGTGATTGACTGAAGCTAGATATGAGGATGGGAAAGAGATGTTCCAGGACAAGTGAGACAAAAAAAATGGTTGAGATCAGGACCTTGAGAAACATGATTTGTTAAGCAAGGGAACTGATAAAAAAAAAAAACAAAATCAAATAGATCCTTCTCAAAGAATAAATGTATTATTCTATTTCTACTGGTACCCACGTTAAATATAGTTCTATTATTTTTAGCTTAAAAATACACCCTAACACAGGAAAATTAAGAGGTACAAACTTCCAGCTATAAAATAAATGAATCACAGGGATGAAAGGTACAGCACTGGGAATACAGTCAATAATGTAATATCTTCGTACGGTGACAGATGGTAACTAGACTTATTGTAGTGATCATTGTGTAATGTATAGAAACATTGAATCACTGTACTGTGCAACAAGAACTAACATAGTGGTGTAGGTCAATTATACTTCAAAAACAAACAAAATAACTCACAGAAAAAATGATCATCTTTGTGGTTACCAAAGGAGGGGGTAGGGGAAGGGGGAATTGGATGAAAGTGGTCAAAAGGTATAAACTTCCAGTTATGAGATGAATAAGTACTAGAGATATAATGTACAACCTGATTAACATAATTAACACTGCTGTATGTTATGAGAGTAAATCCTAAGAGTTCACATCACAAGGAAAATATGTTTTTTTCTATTTCTTTAATTTTGTATCTATGAGATGATGGAGGTTCACTAAACTTATTGTGGTAATCATTTCATAACGTATGTAAGTCAAATCACTAAACATTTACAGTGCTGTATGTCAATTATATCTCAATAAAACTGAAAGTAAAATGTGTATATACATATATATATATATATATATCTCCTAACACAGTATTTTGTACACAGTAGGCATGTAGATGAAACAAAAGATAGTTTAACACAGTAGGGATTTTGTTGAAGGCTTACCAGTGAAATTTGACCAGATGTAATATGAGTAAAGAGAAGTCTGGGAGGTATTTGGTGACTGAAAGAATTACAGATCGTCTAAAAGTATGGTATTTGGGGAGAGATATATAATCATTAATGAGAAAAATAGATTCTGAGAAACATTTGAAAACCAGCATCTAGATAGAATGCTAAAAGGAATCTGAAATCAACTGAATGATGAGAATACCTTTTAAATTTGATTTTAAGTAGGTCATCAGTAAACATGGTTAAAAGTTCCATTAAATGGCAAAATATCACAAGAGAAAAGCAAAGTTGGCATGAACATTTAAGGAGTTTATGAATGGAAAGCTGCATAGTTAATTGGAACAAGCAAAGTTGGTATGACCATTTAAGGAGTTTATGAATAGAAAGCTGCATAGTTAATTGGAACAAGATAGTATATAAAGAATTATTTTACAATACAGAACCACAAGTTAAATCCCAGCACTACTTTGGTAACAAGTTCACTTTTACATTTCTTGTTTACGTTACCTGTTTGGTTTCTAGTTGTTTGCTTCTTGAGTTTTCGCCTTTTTCTGCACTCCATAAACTGCCCTTGTCAAATCGGCCACGAAGACATGCTAGTTCTTTTTGACGTTCCTAAAATCATCAAAAGCTCTATTTTACACAAGAGCCAAAAATATGTTTAATAATATTCAAATTCTACTAACCTTGTCCTCAGTTTTCAGATTAAAAAATTCACAATACACACAGAATATAGGACAATAATATTTCTAATTTGAAATAAGTGATACAGAGAATCAAGATGCTATTTAACGCCAGTCAAAAAGACTGGAGTCAGAATTCACAGTTTGACTTCTAGGTTCTATGCTCAGACCATGTAATGAATAATGTTAAAAGCAGTAAGCCATACCTGCTTGAGCTGTTGTGCTAAATGAGTAGTAGATGAAGATGCGTTTTGCTTGAATAATCTTTCTTGTACGGCCTTTGTATTTGGAGTGATAATGGGAGTTCTATGGGGTGTGCTACGAGCTGGACTTTCTTTGCTGTGCTCTTGACAACGCTCTCCAAAGCGTTCCAGGAAAGGCTTAATTCCTGCTCCTCCTAAAGATAATGCACACATTTTGGGGAGGCTGTTTAGAACAAGTAACAATTATGATTTCTATGGGAAAAGTTCTAAATCCAGTTCAGCTCCAAAATGCTTTGATTCTACTAGGAATATTCATTCAGAAAGTAAACAGAAAGAAAATAGTTCAAAAAACTTAAAAAAAGGGCTTCCCTGGTGGCGCAGTGGTTAAGGGTCTGCCTGCCGATCCAGGGGACGCGGGCTCGTGCCTCGGTCCGGGAAGATCCCACATGCTGCGGAGCGGCTGGGCCCGTGAGCCATGGCCGCTGAGCCTGCGCGTCCGGAGCCTGTG